TATATAGGTCTCGTCCTCCTCAATAGTTTCTGGAGCTAGTGTGAGGAAGAGGTAGAGGAGTAGTTGAGCTCGAACTTAGTAGTAGTGGTCACAGACCTGGGGCCCCCCAGGATTAACGAGTGCCGACGAAAGGCGCGGGGAAATCTAATTCTACAGTCCTAGCCCAGTAGCGGTTCGAATTGTAACATAATTACACTGGACCAGTATTTACAAGAGCAATGTTGTACTAGAGAGGACTAACTTGACGAAAATCACCACAGTACCAGACGTTTCCCCTGTCCTTCACTACATACTACGTACACAAGAAACTCTTCCAGTCCACACGTCTCAGCATGGTCGTCGCGCCGCACAACTACAGCTACACAGACTTGTGCTACTGAGACAAGAAGGAACTGCATCGGGCGGTGCCGGCGCCGACGGGTCGAGCGGGAAGTGGGTCATGGCGTGCGCGCACGAAAGGGGAGCTTCTGCACCGTGTCTCGGGAACGTCCGGGGTATTTCAAGCAAGTCGAGCCCAACTGTGAAAGGAACGAGCGTGTCGTCGTTGTCGTGTAGTGTGTGAGCTCTGGACGATTCTGGGGCATTGCCGGTAGTCTAGAGCCCTAAGTCAGAACGGTGCGGCCCTTTGTGTTGAGGTGAAGGAGAAGCTACGCTCAGGACGAAGATGTCGTGCGAGAGAGCGGTGGTTGGCGGTGCCGTCCGATGCGGTCGTTTGGCGTATAAGTGTGTGGGGTCAATGTGTGGGTGAACTTCGAGAGACGATGCACCAGAACACGCGGGGTGACAGGGGGGGGTATGGGAACGGGTTGGGAAATCTGGGAGTCTGTAGGCCGCTCCGGAAAAGGTGGCGGTACGTGTTGGAGAGAGCGCGGGCGGGCGCGCGCGGGGCCGCGCTCCCGGCCACGATACCTGAGCGCCTCACAATCTAGATTGCGTAAGGTGGAGGAAAGTAACATCAACCATCACGTGACGGAACGCCTGCACGATCGTGAGCGAGGGGGAGCGGTTACGCGGCGGTGTATGAGGCGCACACCCGGAGCGGCGGGGACAGAGAAAAGGTCCTGTGGCCGAGCGACTCCTGGGCGCGTCGGGACATGCGGCATAAACAGCTAAGGGAAAGACAAAGGAGACCACGTGATAAGACGGGAGTGGAGAGTCTGAAACTCAACGCGGCGCGGGAGGATTTTGCCCGGCAGGCGAGATGGGTACCGTTGGGTGGGTTACCACATCGACAGTAAGTGGTCAGCTTCACCTGGTTGGTCAGCGGAGCACAGTTAGGACTAGAGAAGCAGGTCTTTGAGGCGCGGCTCTGAGCGCGGTGATCCCTGTACTGGGTGAGGGCCCTCGAGGGGGCGGGCTTTAGGGGCGCGGCGGCGCGGAACTGTTACATACCCTTGCTCATGTGGGCAGTTCACCTCTGCCGAGTGACTACACGGGGTCATACATGTGTGACTTCCTTTTCATGGAACTCGACATTGGCCATTCATGAATTATGAGGTGTAGAGGCTGGGCCGCCGGGAACTCGGTCCGGCGTTGAGCACGGGAGTGGGCCGGTCGGGGGGGGCACGTCTTGTCAGTCGGGAGGAGGGCGTGGGGGCAGGATGCAGACCTGCCAGGGATCGGGGTGGGGGTGTACATTACATTGATGTTAGCAAGGCGACGCAGGGATTGTGTCCGTAGTGACGTGAAGGGGCGCGGCGGACGGGATGGAGGAGGGGACAGAGGCGGCGCGGGAATTCCAGTGTCTTCGTTGTTGGCCGTGGAGCCAGGAGCGAGAGGAAGCAGGCAAAAAGGTACTGCTGTCTGGCTTTGACGACGCGAAACAGTGAGAGATGAGGAGCGAGCGGAAGGGAGCGGGAGCAATTAAGGGGAATGGGGAGAGGCGGGGATGGACGTACTACAAGTTCGTTGTGTTCGTACCGTACAGTCTAAACCGAAATTAAGTCTTTATGAAAATGCCAAGAAATAACGTAAAGAAAAAGAAAAAAGTAAGTAAGGAAAGATAATAAGACGAGATAATGAAATTAGAGACGGCGAGAGAGAGGCCAGTAAAGACTGGAGAGAAGAAATAAAATAAAGGAACATGAGAGGCGAGGGAAGCGGAGGGGACGAAAACGATAGAGGACGGGGAGGAAGGTATATGGGAAAGAAATATTTAGCCCGAGAGAGGAGGGGATAGAAGGCTATAAGAAAAAGAGAGGGGATGAGAGAAGGAAGAAGAAATACTCTGAAAGCGGATAAAGAGGGAGATGGAAAATAAGAAGAATAACGTAAGCCAACGAGAAGAAAATCGCAATATAAAAATTGGAAACCAGCTAGGCGTGGGTCATCCGTAACATAAAGCGGAACGAACATTTGAAGCAATAAGGTAAGATCACATAGAGGAGCGGGGAAAAGTGAAAGGAACGTTGGGTAAAAAAAACGTGCGGGCAGTTGTCGGGTCGTAGGGTCAACGTACACTTGGTCGACGAGGAGTGAAGCGGCGGGAGTGTATTGCGGAAGTTGGGACGATAGCGAACACGGTGACGGGAGCAGGTCGTTGAGACACAACGGGGTGCAAGTTGGGGGGTTGGGTGCTACATGGGGGGACGTGAGGCTTCGTCCGGGGGAGGGGGGGGAGCAACGGAGAGCGTGGTCTCTGGTCGGCAGAGGGCTGCGAGCGAAGATAATGAAAGAGCAGACAAACACACATCACGATAAAGGAGAGACAAATCTATACAGAAGGCGAGCGTTGGAAGGACGGAGTCGGTAAGTCGACGGAGCAGCAGCGACGCACACAGACAAGGCACGGAGCACAGACGACACACACACACAACAGCAACAGTCGCAGCGACACAGTCTGCCCATACTGTGCGCGGACTCGTCGGACGAGAGGTGCGACTGCTGACGGTGCGTTTTGGCGGGAAGTCACGTGGAGGGTATAGACACAGCGGGGAGGGGAACCGACGCGCTCACCACCCACACACCACACTTCAGGTAGCTGACGAAGCTACCGACAAAACCAGGAAACGCTGTGCGGGCGGGCGAGCGGGGGTATGTGGTGACATGTCGGTCTGCACACGCACAGCAAGTCCATATAGCGTTGCGCTCCGCCCCCTTTCTCGGCGCTTAAGAGTGAAGAGGTAGGACTATGATTGTCCCAACTTGTAGTGGCGTTGGGCAACTTATGTCGTACTACTGTCGGCTCCTGGTGGCGAGAGGAAGTGCGAGTGGTGCGGCAGAAATAGAAGAGTGGTAATTGTGGTTGTAAGGTTGTGATGGTGGCGTGCGTTTGTCCTTATTCGCTAATGCAAAATCTATAGAAAAAGGAGGAAAAACATACTAACTAGATAGTGAAACTTGGGCTAGACCATGTGTATTGACTATCGCCTCGTCGCACAGTCTTGTGTAGAGAGAGCAAGGTGCGGTGCTCATAGGAATAAGACGTTGGCCCAAAGATAAAGTTGAGGGTACCCCGAAACTTACAGACAGTACAGTGTGAAATCTGGTCGTGCTCAAGAGAACGTTGGGAAGTGAAGTAGAAGCATACTATATACGCATGCCTCATTTGTCCCTGACGATTGGTGACGAGAGAGTACAAAAACGTCTCTTAGTTAAGTATAAAAGCAAGAAGCGCTACGATTGAGCATGATTTCTCGTATAGTGGGAAAAAAAGTAGGAATACGTGATAATTGGGATGGTATGATGATGAACAATAGGAAAAAGCCGACTGTACGCTGGGCCAGGTGAAATCGGGCGCGTGGAGAGCTGGGCCGTAATCGAGTTATAGTAAATTAAGCTTCTTGCATATGAGGTTCAATGATTCAAAGAACGGGGAGTGGGACGATTACATCTGGGTCTGAGCGGATGACCCAGCTAGTACGCGACATTGTGGTTCTGAGAATGAAAGGGTGTGACAAGTGGCGTATGTCTAGTTTTGTGAGTGAACTAGGTGAGAGAGGCTAGGCATAGCGAGAATAGGACGGGGCATCTGAACCGAAGCTGACCCGTCAATAATGGTGAGAGAGAGACAGCATTGAGGGGCCTCGCCAGACAATAGACCGTACAATGTCCAGTCAACAGTGAAACATAAAGGGTAAGATACAAGAGAGAGTGAAGAAAAAGTATCCCGGCACGGGGTACTGTGTCAGGTCAAACAGGGTAATTGTGCTCTGCGTTGCCCCATACGCAAAAGCGCCCAATAGCCTAAGCAAAAGGTTGTTTCAGAAACATAGATGACACGGACAAGCCGGCGTAGATGCCGCTGACTGGGCGACGCGCTTCGGCGAGACGGACGTATGCAGCCGCGATTGGAGCGGCCCGCCGGTCGAGATCTCGAGCCGGCTGTCGGTGGGGCACCAACTTGGAAGGCGGTACTTGATGTGTTTTCGGCTCGCAATTAGGGGGCCTTTGACACAATTGCCGTTTTTGTTGTTTGTGTTCCACTCTACGCGACTACTAAGCGCGTTACGTGTTCCGATTAAAGCCGACCGAGCGGCTGGCGCTCCGGCCATCGCGAGAGACGCACATACCAGCTGTGATGCGGATGTTTTGATGCGGGGTTGGTTAATGTCCGCGTGACAGTCGGGAAGCGCCGCAGACGTGTCGAGATTGGATGATGCGGCTCTGATCCCCGTATAGGAGGCGCCGGGCGATCAGAGACCTCGCGTGGGGCTGGTCTGCTGGGTCCTAGAAGGGAGGTGCTTGAACTGCGGAAGTGTGGGTACGGTCGAAAGGCGGTCGAGTGACGATCAATACAGACTACAATCCACACGACACACGTCCAGATCAGCGAACGCACCCACGCAATCGGCAGCCGACACACGTACACGACGTACGCACCCAGCGACGTTCCTGCCACAACGAACGAAGGTATTCCGGCAGGGGTAGGCGACAAACAAAAAGGGGTAATACTAAGTTACGCTCGCACTGTGCTGTCCCACAGTCTACCACTCTCCTGTGTTGGACCAAGTACGCCACAATAAAGCGAGATAGATAGGTAACCGAACATTGGGACACACTTAACGTACGCTGTGAATGTGTCGCCCGATTTATCAACATAGATAAGCTTTCTATATCGTTGAATAAGAGGCGTAGCAAAGTGCTCAACTTTAACGCAGGAAGGGAACCAGTCGAAAGGAACGGTACGTTAGTAGGTATTTACGGAAGAGATAAGATCACTACAGACACAACAACCAAGGTACAAGCACGGTTATGGTGCCACAGCATGTTCCCGACAGTACGCGAGCACATCACTGACACTAGGATTGATACGCGTCTTATAATTGTTGAGCACATGGGAGACAAAGGAGATAAAAGTAGCTAGGAAATGAGATCAGAGTAGAAGTATGATATTAGTGTGTAAGAAAAGAAGATAATAATCGAGTACGGCTAGTAGTGCAGAGAAAAGCAATAATAATGAAATAACTGTCGTAACGAGGGGGAGAGGAATAACAAGCGGGACTAGTTTAAGGTAATTGTAATGGAACATAAACAAGCGAACAGGATCAAGATACTAACTACACGATCACACTATCTTGCTACGACTTATCACACGACACCGCCAGAAGGACAAGGACGTAATGGACACTGGTAGTAAACACGTTATATAGGTAATAACGTGGGAGGAGGTTAGTAAAATAATAAATGAGTTACCACATACACCACGAGCGACAGACACTAATAAGCCGACACACATGGAATTGTAACACACTGGACAACACTCCATGCACCACTATACACACAAAATACGACGACTCCAGATTTAATCATGAGGAGGCGGGCGGCAGCATGACAACCTGAAATCACAGCTGACTGCAGGAGAGAGGAGAACCATTTTAAAGTTTGGCTGCAGCACGCTGATTGGCTGCTGGAGAATGAGGTGGATGTAATAGGTTAAAGAGAACGCCCGTGATGAGCTGATCATAAGCAGCTGCAGACTGAAGTATACCAGTCTTCCTGAAAGAATCTACGCTAAGCTTCATAGAACACACTACAAGAAAAACTAAACATGGAATGCCTTTGTATTTCAATCTTTCCATTTACATGCACTAAAACCTGGCAAAATGATACTTAAACTATTCAAATACAAACTCACAACATACACTGGTCATTGGTGCTTTTTATATATATTTATACACATGTTTTTTTAGTCTTGTTTTCATTGCTCTTAGTGTGAGTCTGTGTCATTTTAAGAACAATCAACTTCCTTGCAATTGGTATTTCACACTTTACCCTAACCCTACATTTAACTTTTGCTTTGACTTGTAACACAGTATTTCTTCACCCTTATAATCTGAGGCACACACAAGAAACAAACATTAAGACATGATACAGATGAATAACATATATAAATACATCTGTCCGTGTCCTGTGACCCAGAGTGTGATGTTGCTGAGCTGTGTGTGGTTGTGTTTCAGTCTCCTCAGGCCGGGTCCAAGGAGAAGACGCTCTGCTGCTGGTTCTGTGCTTCAGGTCCCATCTCCCTCAGTGCCAAGATCGAGAGGAAGGGCTACACTCCAGGTGAGAAAAAACACTTTGTTCTTCTTCATCTCTTCCCCCTCCTCCTCCTCTTCCTCACCCCTCACTTATAGGATACGATAATACTTTAATGGTCTTTAATCAAGTCTGAAATGTGACTTGCATCCAAGCAGCTCCTACAAAAACGTGAAATCTTTCCCAGTATCTTAGTCTAACATCTAGTCAGAACATGTCTCTACTCCTGACATCAGACACAATAGCCTCAGAAGTGACACTGCAGTGAGACATAGGCTCTTGTTTTTAGACAATGAATCACCTTGTTGAGTCAAAACATCTTATTTTGAGTTTTATCTCAGAGGAAACACATATTTATTAGAAAATCACCAACTAACATCAGAACACAGAAAACTGTTGAGCATGTGCTTATTGTAACAACATGTCCTGATTCTGGTCAAATATAGTTCACAATAAGTTCTCCTGCTAATTACAAGACCTGATTTATGTGAATATCCCTTCTTATTTCAAGAGATCTTACCAAGCACATGTTCACTTGGCAGATTGTTGAACTTATTACAAGTGAAAACAGATTTGAACTTAACTTGTTTTTGGAGCAGCATTTTCTCCAGTGTGGACAAATATCAAGACACAATACATGAAACACAACATGTAACATAACAGCAGGACCAGTGAGAGCTGCTCAAAGAGCCTTCAGCTGGATCTGATCTGGACTCAGCTCTGTGTTCACTGAGAGGGCTGACTGGAGCACAAAGGATGCTTCAGGCTGACTTTAAAGATCTCCATCAGATGGTAGCAGTTCAGGTTCTCTCTCAGAGCACGCTTTGGCTCCCAGAGGATGCTGTTGGAGCCTCTCAGGTTATTATGGTCTGTGAGTCAGAAAGGCTCTGACAGGGGGACCAACTATCTTTGAGCAGATTGTTAACAGGTGCTAGCAGGTTTGATTTTAAAGCTGCTGACGAACACTTGTCGTGTCAAATGAACATGTAATCCTTTAAAACATGTAGTCTTATACTCTGACTGCCTTTGAATCTGTCACATTGTCAGAGACATGTGTTAAGGATTTACATTTCTGGAGGGCAAAGGAAGTGGAAAAAGGGGATATGCACATGGTTAAGGACTGGAGGTTTGATGGTGTAATGATGGGGATGTTTAGATGAGTTGGATATTCTCTCCAGTGTGACTGTAAGCAGAACTTCTCTGTCCTCTGAGGATGAGGTAGCTCTGTTCCTACATTTGATCGTGTTCACTTGTATATCGACTTTCTTTATTACTTAAAAATTACAATAAAAAAAGTGACACACATCCTGTAAGAGTGCTGAGGGTTTAGCAGCCAGGTATACAGCACAGTGATTAACGGCATCTACCTATATTGCACATATTGCACATAGTTGGTGGTTAACAACAAGGCGTGTTATAGTTTGTGTTGTTGTGTATTCAATATAACAAAAGACAAACTTTGTCCTTGAATCTTTTATCAGCTTCTCTGATAATTGGCAGGCTGTCCCGCAGCATCCGGACTAACACTTGACTCAGGGACAGTTTCATCCCACAGGCCATAAGACTGTTAAACCTCTGAATTATTGAAACAACATCCATAACATTCACCCGGCTGCTGCTTAGAAATGATGTATCTAATTATCCTATTCCAATCACTGCATAGAGACTCTCCTTGCACTATTTCTATTCTATTTGATTTGTATGTACTGCTCTGTTGGAGGAGCCTGATCTCAGATATCTACACTGTAGCTATGTACCAATGACAATAAAAGCCTTGAATCTTAATAATTTCCTCCCCACACTTAGGTGACTTCTCTCTCAGTCCGGCAGACTGATCTCTTCTCCCTCCTATCCAGGCGAGTCCATCCAGATCTTCTGCGAGGTGGAGAACAGCTCGTCCCGGGTGGTGGTGCCCAAGGCGGCGCTCTACCAGACGCAGACCTTCTTCGCCAAAGGGAAGGGGAAGCAGATCCAGCAGCTGGTGTCCAACCTCAGGGGCGAGACCCTGCCGCAGGGCAAGAGCCAGAGCTGGGAGGGCAGGCTGCTGAAGATCCCCCCCGTGTCCCCCTCCATCTTGGACTGCCCCATCATCCGCGTGGAGTACGTCCTCGTGGTGAGTGAGATTAAAGTTCATTAGAAATAACATAACCCTCTGGAGTTTCATAATGTACAAACACTCCCAGGAGTCCCATTAATATATCATTATCATGTACAAAAATATAGAATTAAGAAGCAGAAGAAAAGGTAGTACATTTAGCAATAAGTACATTAAATAAGTATACAAATATACAGTTCAGATAGCACTGTACGAGATATTTAAAAGATCCCCCCCGTGTCCCCCTCCATCTTGGACTGCCCCATCACCCGGGTGGAGAACGTCCTCGCCCTCTGGAGTTTCATAATGTACAAACACTCCCAAGAGTCCCATTAATATATAATTATCTTGTACAAAAATATAGAATTAAGAAGCAGGAGAAAAGGTAATACATTTAGCAATAAGTACTTTCATAAAGTTTACAAAATATACAGTTCAGATAGCACTGTAAGAGTTAGAAGATCCCCCCGTGTCCCCCTCCATCTTGGACTGCCCCATCACCCGCGTGGAGTACGTCCTCGCCCTCTGGAGTTTCATAACGTTTCATAACGTTTCATAATGTTTCATAAAGTTTCATAATGTTTCATAATGTTTCATAATGTTTCATAATGCACAAACACTCCCAAGAGTCCCATTAATATATAATTATCATGCAGCAAAAAGTGTACAAAAATACAGAATTAAGAAGCAGGAGAAAATGATTTAAATTGAGCAGAAAGTTCATTTAACGCATTAAAAGGTTCCCCAATTTGGGCTCATCAAAGTAGATCTTAAGTTATCTTATTAAAAATGTATAGAAAACACAGCTGAGACGCAGGGAGGAGGTGCAACATGTACAGGCAAGAGCTAGTTCAAAAGGATTCTGTGAAGATGCTAAGAGTATAAGAAATGTATATACGGTTAAGAACATAAAAAGACTTTAGATGCAGCAGGAAGTATATGCAAAATATAAAGTTGAGCTCTTAATTAAAATTAAAAGATACAGTTAAGATGTAAAATATCCCAAAGTATACCAGATGTAGAAATGTGAAATGAAGAAGCAGTAAAAGTCTATGCAAAATATAGAGTTAAGATGTAAAAAGGTTCATATATAATATATTCATTTAGTGTTCAGTGAAACCGTCAGAGTATGCAGATGCTGTACAAAGTACACAAGATATTACAGACAACGTGTACGAAATCTAAAGTAAGCATAATGTTCCAGATGATCAACAGGGAACTGTCCTTACATGGGAACATATCCTGTGATGATTGAGTGACATGGAGAGTGTGTGTGTGTGTGTGTGTGTGTGTGTGTGTGTGTGTGTGTGTGTGTGTGTGTGTGTGTGTGTGTGTGTGTGTGTGTGTGTGTGTGTGTGTGTGTGTGTGTGTGTGTGTAGTAGTTACGTAGTACGTAGTAGTACGTACGTACGTACGGT